AGCGCGCCCCCTGGCGGCGTCCGAGGGCTGAGGGTGCTGGCGGTTGGGAGCCCTTCCCTGCCCGCCCCTTCCCCCCGCCACATCCTCTATGTGTGATCCCTGGTTAGAACAGTGTATACTGAATTTAGACAGGCTTTGGGAGCTGAAAATAAAACCTAATACATATTGAGTGCTTTTATGTACTGGTCATTGAGCCAAGCCCTTAAGAAGATATGATTTAATCTTTACAAACGTAAGCTCTGCTATGAGCTTTATGTATTACACTAGTTTTGTAGACAGGAGGAGGCCCAGAGAGTTAAGTGACATGCTCAAGGATGCAGAACTAGTAAATGGTGGAGCCAGGATGCCAAAGTGTTAGGTGCTTAACTAGATTGTACTTTAAAAGTGTTATGTGATACATGAAGTTATAGTAACTTTCATGAAATGGGATAAATTACAAAGGAAGTAAAAATAATAGTATAGGGGAGTGCTCGCTTCGGCAGCACATGTACTAAAATTGGAACGATATAGAGAAGGTTAGCATGGCCCCTGCGCAAGGATGACACGCAAATCTGTGAAGGGTTCCATATTAAAAAAAAAAAAAAAAGCCTTAACCGGTTTGGCTCAGTGGATGCAGCGTTGGCCTGTAGACTGAAGGGTCCCAGGTTCTATTCCGGTCAAGGGCATGCACCTTGGCTGGAGGCACATCCCCAGTAGGGGGTTTGCAGGAGGCAGCTGATCGATGTTTCTAACTCTCTATCCCTCTCCCTTCCTCTCTGTTAAAAATACATTAAAAAATAGTATAGAGGATATTTCCCTCAAACGTGGCATTTAATATAATCAGTACGTAAAATACCTGGGAAGCTCTTTCCTATTTATTACAGGAAGTCCAAATAAACACACAAAAGACTATGAACAGACATACAATGTCATATATATATCCCAGAACTTGGAAATCAGGTTTCCCTTTTAGAGGGAAAAATCGGTGTATGAACCAATCCAGTTGTAGATGCAAGTGACCTGGGCCAATAGTTCCTCCTCTCCTGGGAAGACTTTGTTGCTGGTCAAGATATGCCCCTAAAGTACAAGAAAAGAAACAAAAAGAAGATACCAAACATTATAGCAAGTAAACAAGCTGAAAACTTTAGGATATACTTCTATGCAAAACCAGTGAAGTTGTTCTTCTCACACTTGCAATCGAAAGAGTCTTGATCAATAAAACTCTATAGTATCACACTTTATAAAAAAAAAGAGTCTTGACTGATTCAAATATTTGCTTAACTCAATGATTTGATCTCTCAGGAAGAAGACTCGGATTGAGAGTTCCATTTGAGCAAGCATTAATCAACCCTTTTGAAAACAACATACCAAAACCCAAATAAAGCTGTTTTTTTTTTAATGAATTTATTTTCTCACATATATGCGATGTCATGGGGTAGAACTTCAGGAATGGCCTGATCTAGGTGCTGAAATGTTAAGAGTCAGCCATTTCTTTTTCTCTCAGCTTCATTCTCACATAGGTTCTCCCATTGTCGGGGCAAAGATGGCCAACCACTTAGCAGCCCCTGGAAGAAGCTGGAAGAAGCCTTTCTTCGTTCCAATAGGACTTCCATGTATTATACTCCTTGGCTTAGCAAGGGTCATGTAGCTGCCATGGAAACAATCTCTGCGGTCAGAGAGAAGCAGTACTCTGACTGGCCCAGCCTATGTCACATGCCTACCTTAATTCCCAGGGGTGAAATCAGTTTTACCCTAGCCATATGGACTAACAGTGTTAATAGGGTGAATTATATGAATAGGTTTTCGATTTCCATGGAATAAGCTCTAATAGGAAGTGAACATTTCTTTAGTGCTACATGAAGTTTCTCATGAGATCCTGGGATCTCATAAGATCTAGAATAATCTTGTAATTATCATGTTTTATCTTCATTTTGCAGAGGATACTATGAACTTGCTAAAGGTTGCTTAAGTAGTCTCCATGTTATATGTATTATTCTTTTTATAAATTGTTGATTTCAATTTGCTCACGTTTTATTTAGTATTTTTGCATATGTATGTATATATTAGATTGGTATCCAGTCTCTCTCTCTCTTGCTATCTCTGCCACATTTGATATCAGAATTGCTTGCTTCTGTGGACCCTGAGAAAGAAGATACCTACTAAATAGAGCTCCCACGGGTTGAGCTCAATTTTAAAAAAATGGGGCCTTTTCTACCCAGAGGCCTCTCATGCAAACTGAACTTCAGGGAGAAGCCTGAACTGAACTGCTTGCCTGCATTGTGTTCCTGCCATCTGAGCCAGGCCCTGGGCCCAGCAACGTGGAGCAGGCAGACCCTCTGGCTCAGTGGTTCTCAACTTTCCTAATGCCACGACCCTTTAATACAGTTCCTCATGTTGTGGTGACCCCCAACCATAACATTATTTTCGTTGCTGCTTCATAACTGTAATTTTGCTAGTTATGAATCATAATGTATTTTCATTGTTACAAATTGAACATTAAAGCATAGTGATTAATCACAAAAACAATATGTAATTATATAGGTGTTTTCCGATGGTCTTAGGCGACCCCGTGAAAGGGTCGTTCGACCCCCAAAGGGATCGCGACCCACAGGTTGAGAACCGCTGATAGCTGGAGAGGGGCCTCTCCAAGGGCTGCCTGGCCCTGGCAGGTGTCCCACAGCTGTGCTGTTTCATAATTGAGCTGTGACACTATTGAGCTGTCCCACAGCTGTGCTGGTCTCAGGGCCACTCTGTATCCCAATTGGGCTGTTTGCACTGAATCAAGTCTCCTTTTTCACGGGCACTTCGAGTTGGGCATTGCTCTTCGCTCTGAATGGGCGCCCACAACCGTTGGTCTACACTTCCACTTCCAACGTGAATCCAAACTTCGGTGATTTGCTTTCATTGGCGCCAGGTTCTAATAAGTAAGGACAACCGACTCGAAGCTCAATGCCTTCAACTCCGATGAACTTCTTGCCACATCTGAGCACTGTGAAGCCCCACGTGGCTTAGTCACGTGTTTGAGGCCGGGCGGGATGTTTGCCGTAAGTCAGCTCAGCGTTCACCATGATGGCGGGGGAACATTCACAGTTGGCAACTTAAAACGTTCACCTTACAAGCTGTCCAGGAGTCTGGCAACGCGTGCCTCCCCTTTAATCCTGAAGAACGGGGACTTCCAGTCTTTTTCAGTGGAGCCTCCATCCTTGTAACTAGGCTTAAAAAAAAAAAGCTGTTTCTCTCCTTCTCCAAAGCCGCAGGGGGTAATTGGACCCGCGGCCACGTCGGAGCCTCTCGGGGTTCTAAATCCGGAGTCTCC